TGGCGCGCCCTCAGTAACAACAATCATCGTTTCGAGCTGATACCAGGAGTAGTTTTGCTCTATAATTGTTTCAAAATCAAACCTAAATAAACTCTTACACTTGTTCCAAATATTAATTCCAAATGAGGGTTTCGTTTTTGTGCATTTTAATGAGAGTTTTCAAAGTTAGAGTTTAAGTTGTTTTTTTGGCGAGCGAATTGCAAAAAGCAATCATTGGCGACCGTAAACTGAAGGTTAGCTCGTAATCCAAACTTTGTTTCAGTTCAACCAGATAAAAACAGGCCGGGGAGTTGTCTGTTGTACAATTTTTTGCGTATTTTTGTTTCAATTTTTACAGAAATGGGGGAAAATTTATGCATGAGGTTGTTTCTTACTCAGTCAGTTTTCGTTTTTCTATCTAGACATGTTTGTGGAAACTATATTTCAACCATCCGAAAGATATTGTTTTGCCTGGAGCTCAAACTAAAAAGAGCATAAGATACATTTTTTTGCAATTTACTGTTGCGTGTGACGGGAAGATTTGAAGACAAAAATTGAAATGAAACATAAAGCTCTTGTTTTTTGATCTTTTCGTTATTTTGTCACCAACTTTTTCTAATTGACCTCAAAGTTTGACTGGAGCACTCAAGACTTCGCCGTGATATACGATCAGTTTTGTTAGTTTTTAGTTGAGTTTCAAAATGGCTGAATTGTTTTGGCCGAACTTTCGGTGCGCTGTCAGTAACAACAATCACCGTTTCGAACTGATACCAGCCGCAGTTTTGTTCCAAAAAAGGGTGCGGAACGCTTAAAACATTTTTGTATGCCAAAATCAATTAGAAATTTGTATAACAAACTGAACTTTTTTGACAATCAGCTTGTGAAGTAAGTTTTTTGAAACAAAATTGAGATTTTTTTCGGTTTACCGGATAATTTATAATTGCACTGTTTGAAGCTGATATTGCGTCAACAAAAATGTCAACATCATTCCAAATTAAACAGGAAATCTTTTGCTGACAAGTCGATCAAATTTACTTTCTGAACTATCCCAGAACACTATAAAGACCCTATTAGGACCAAATTTTCTGCGCCTGCCAAACTTTCAACATATAAAAACAAGTCAAAATGCCGTTTTTGGACACCGTTTAATATTTTTGGTAGTTTTTAGCTGAGTTTCAAAATGGCTGAATTGTTTTGCCCGAACTTTTGGTGCGCTGTCAGGAACAACAATCACCGCTTCGAGCTAATACCAGCCGCAGTTTTGCTCTCTAAATGATTCAAGTTCAACAAGATAAAACTCTTACATTTTTTAAAAATAATTTCAAGTGAGGGCAGTCCTTGAATGCATAATAATTAGAGTTTGTAAAATTAGAGTTTGATCATTTTTTGGCAAACGTATGGTTTGAGTATTCGTTTAGAAAGGTTGTTATTTTTTGCTTTGTTATTAGTATTTTCTTCTGAGCCATATATCTAAGGACTTTATGATGAGATTCGTTCAGAAAAAAGAGGGAAATACGTCAAAAGTCTAAATGACTTCCTTAATGATTGAAATCATATGTAGCTGCTGATACCGTTTCCTCTCTGCAGAAAAAAAAGAACCCTGAAATTCAATATAGTGCTAAAAGTTTGTGTTCACACCAGATGTCTCATTTTTCACCCACGTCACGAATTACGGGAGATATGGATGAGAATTTAGAATTGAGGCCAAAGAAGCAATGAAATATTCAAACAACACAACAAACTACTCGTTTTCAACCTCTTTTAACAAAAATTGCGGGGAGTTGGATCTATTACTTCTTGATAGAGATAGAAACTCTTTACTAGGTACCATGGGAGGACTCAAATTCTCCATACGAACTTCATACAATTTTGATAGTACTCTTTTTGAGAGACCAGAAGACAAATCCTTTTCAGGAAAATTACCTAAGAGACCCATTTTCCAACCGCAGTTATTTCTCAACTAAAAAGGATAGCGAGGGAGTAAGATCACTACCCAGGTTGACCAAAAATCAGAAAAATTTAGAAAAATAGGGGCGGATTTAGGGGGTGGGTAGCAAGCATCTAACCCCCAACCAGGGATTCGATCCTCTCACCAACCATAAGGTCCCCCTTTTAGTATTATTTGATGACTTCCATTTTTGGCCGACCAACCCTAAAATTTTTCTAAAAACGCCTTAGGCGCCAATATATGCTAATTTTGAAGGGGAGCGCGCAGAGGAAACATGACTTTTTGGTCAAAATACTCCAAAAAATTCCAAAAATGTCATTTTTGGCCAGTTTTTTTTTTTGAAAAAAAATGCTTTTATAAAGATTTAGGAGAGCTCGGAAAATCATTTTGGTTGACCTAAAAATAAAGCTCGACAAAATTTTTTAAAAGTTTTGAAAACACGCCCTTTTACCTCGAGAAAATCCTAGATCTGCCCCTGCCTATCATACAATTCCGTACAATTCCATAGCTACAGAAAATTATAAGAAAACTCTGCGATAAGCATTTTTCATTTATAAAACTAATGTGCCGAGTAACTTTCCATGAGTCAAAAATTTAATATTTTCAGAGTTGCTAAATCTTTTTGAGCTCTTTCTCAAGTCCGAGTTTGAAAATGTATGAATAGCATTTTTCATGTGTGGGATTTTATGGGATCTACTTAACAATTACCCCCCTTTTAAGAAATGGGGGGGGGGGGAATTGTTAAGTAGATTAATATAACGCATTTTCGCAAAATTAGAAATCTCAATACAAAGCTCTAGCGCTAATTTACTGCTTTTATTAATAGGGGTGGCAATTTTTAAGTAGGTACCAAAGGGAGGGCAATTGTTAAGTAGATCCATTTTATGATAAGCATTTTTTATGCGTTGAGGTCAACTAGGGTATACTTCAGTTGAAAATAGTCACTAGTTGAACTGGAGACTAGAACTGGAATTATTAGCGTCATATAATGGTAAGATTATATGATAATCATGAAAATTTTTGTGGGTTTTTATGCAAAGCTTAAAAAAGAATAATAGGATGCGCCTCTCTACTCAGTGGTCAGCCAATCATAATTAATTTTAAGGGCATCTGTAATTTTTAAATAGCGCAGCAATTTATGATCAACTTGAGAAGCGATCGAACGGCAAAAATGTGTTGTTAATTTTTATCACAAATTATCACAAACAACTGCCTGGTCTAAAAAGCGGAACTCAAAATTCAATCATTATTAATATCAAAATCACTATTCACAAAATCATTTAAATCATTTTTTACACATTTCACATTTTGCGATCTGTGTTCGGTTTGAGCCTTTACAGGTTGAGGTGTGACCCATCACGTTTTTTGTTACAATTGGGCATTCATTTGCTTGTTCATAACTTACTTTCTCATTTGCCCAAAAATCTTTCATTTTGAACGGTTTGTTATTGTTTTTTGCATTTTTTTTAAATGCAGGAAACATAAACTAATTGTTCTTTTTATTGTTTTCAAATTTTTTTATGCTAATTGAGTTTTATGCTAGTCAAATGGTCTTCCTCCGAAATATGAATCTATCTGAATTTTGGTTGAGGATTCAATCTTTATAAAACGCAAACTTGCTTCAACATAAATTCCGGCTGCCTTAGAAACTCTATAGAATAGTTTTCAAACAAAAAACTAGCACAATATCATACCCTCACACGCCATATAGAGAAAAGAGTAATACTTTTCCTTTTGTATAGGGCTAGTTAAACAGTCGAACTTTGTCTGTAGCAAAAATCCGCCCGAGCACAAATATACCATCAGTTTCTTCGATTTCGGAATAAAACAAGACTGTTCGAATAACAGGGCAAAACCCTGAAAGTTCCGACTCTCCCTTAATTCATATCGAATAGTTTTTGGGAAAAAAAATATTGAAAACCTGCAAAGTGTGAAATGTTGAGTCGTATGAAATTAATACGACCGATCCTGTTAACTAGCCTCAATTCAATTTGGAACGATTTTATTGCGAAGGATAATTTGCCACGCATACATAAATCGTATTATGCGCACTTTGAAGAGTTTATTCATATTGCTGAGAGCGCAATATGAATCAATTCTTCATTCAAAGTGCGCATAATTTAGTCCAGAACATGGCCAATTTGGAAACTTTCAAACCCCCAGAACTTTACAAAAAATTATTGGAAGTAAAATGTCTTTTTAATTTTGAGCTCAGTAGGCAAATATCTTCAATGGAGTACAAAAAATTTTTGTCAAAAATTATTATTTCGAAAATTGACTGAATAAAAAACCACACCGAGCATTAATATTGAGTTTTTTGCGAAAGACGGAACAAACAAAAAACTAAGCATTTGAGCTTGAAAGTAATAATCATTTTGGCTTGCTTCAAGTCAGTTAAGGAAAAACTTCAAGAAATTTAAAGACCAACTAAAAAGTTTTGGTTGAAAAATTGATAAAATATTTGCAAATTTTTTTTTTCTTGTTTTTCTTTTTTTTTCTTATTTCATCGCTATGCAAAGTACAAAGTGTTGTATTAAACGTCTCGAATTTTAAAAGGACACTCAAATTATTTGAAACGATTGAAAACGCCGCTTAAGCGTATTATAGAAACGCAATATATCGCGCGTTAATTATCTCAAATTGGTTTAAATACCGCAGATTTTAATTCCCAATTAATTTACAAAAGTGATCACAGCTAACTTTTTTTTTCATTTGATTTCCGGACAATGGTCTTCAGATGGTATTAAAAAAATCCGTCAAAAACACTGAGCTAAAAACTGATTGAAGAAAAACTTATCAAACAAAATTTTTCCGCTCTTTCGTTGAAAGTCGGAACAATAGCTTGTGACTGTCTGGTGTCATGCTTTTAACAGAAAAAAACACACAGCTGAGATATTGCAACCAAGTAACCCAATCAAAACAATTTTAAAAAAAGTTTTTGAATACTGAATTTGGATCAGCTTATCAAACCTTCTGTCATTGCGTCCTTCTGTCCTGAAGGATTCCATCTTCTGTGCGTCTCCTTTGTTTTTTACTTCTCCGTTCAGTTAAAAGTGATTGTTCCTTTTTTCAGTCTGGCGGCGGCGATGTTGACATGTGGACTGTTCTCGGGGAATATCCAGGCGCTGGTTGCGGTGGAGAGGTACTACTCGACCCAGATGCTTGTCGTTGCCAGTAAGACAATTATAAATTACTAAAACAAAACGTGTTCATGCTTACTCGTTGAATTAGTTCTTCAATTGAAACCTTCATAGAACAAAAACCATACTGCTTGTTTCAAAGCGAGTAAAATGATGTCCTTAAAGTTCTGAACATCTTCTGATCTATCTGAAGGAACCTTTCAGAAAAAGCAACAAATATAAACAACGATGATTCAATATCTTTCCGAAACAAAAATATATAAGATTACTCGTTTCAGGATGAATTCTAGACATGACTGTTCAATCTTTTATAGTGCGAGAAAATAATTTTTGATTTGTAATTTCAACTACAAAGTGTTGTCACTCAAACTGTAATGGTTTCTTACCCTATATAACCCCATCCAATTGCGTCTAGTCGCGCAAATATAAAAAAAATCGGATCGATAAGCATGCCTTCAGAAAATAATTGTGCATGCTCTAAGAATACGTATAAAAGATGAATACAGAATATATATTCGGTTATTGGCTTTACGCTTCGATATCTATTAGATATTAGAAACGTTTTCCTTCAAGACTTTTATTTAGAGGGTTAAAATTTTTTGCTGATAAAAAACGTTTTTCTGCCTATGTATTTTGAAAATTGATTCAACAAGCTGTTATGTCTCTGTAATTTCCTCTTCCTCTTTGTCTGAAACGGTTTTTGGCTCAAAACATTAGACGGAAATGTGGAAAAAATAAACAAAAATGCTTCAAATACTGATAGAATTTTCAACGCCCCTCCCTATGGTGCGGTGCATATTTAATATTGCGTATAGTAAATGGCCCAAATTGGCCTAGCCAAGAATATTATTTAACACAGACGCGCGTTTTTTGAAAACTCAGCTAGGGTTTTTTTTATATCTGTAGGATAAAATTTTTAAAAATTGTCATGAATTTTTACAGTTGAGAGTCGAAAATGTCTCCCCCCAAAAAAAAACAATAGGCACAAATGCTCATTACTTTTGTCAAAATTTGGAAAAATTTTTTGAGAGACCAGTAAATATCTTTTGAATAGCTATTGATTTTTGTTCGAGAGATACTATATTTTTAGAAAGTATTTATTGAACAATATCTTGAAATTTTGAAAAAATTCTGCCCTTCAAGCTAAAATTAGTTTCAAATAATTAATTGAAAAACTGTGTTTTTTTTGTGACGTTTTATTTTTTTCGGCTTTGAAAAAACTCACGGTAGATCTTTGTTCAATGAGTATTGTTTTGAACTTGTGGGCTCGAGGTCATTCAAAAAACGGAAGTCTCTGAAAATGCGCAATCACAATAGAGAAAAAAGCTGTTTACTAATTAGTTTAGAAGCCATATTTTACCTTCAATGAAAATCAAATTTCCTTCATAGAAAAAGTTTTTCTGAATTTTTGATGAACAGAAAATTTCTTTTTTTTTTGATAATTTTTTATATTTTGAAAGGGCGATGGTCTCAAAATTTTATTTTGATTGCACAGCAACCGACTTTTTTTTACATGAAAGCCTAAATCTTTCAAAGTTTGTTATAACTTTTGGCTTTTTTTATTGCAAAACTATATATATTTTGAAACAACAGGCCAAAAAAGTTATTGCCAGGCGGAAAATTATGACCAAAAATTGCGCTTTTTGCGGGAGCGCACCCCCTCAAAATTAGTATATATTGGCGCCGAATTAGTATATCTTTATAGTGATTTGGGAGAGCTCAGAAAATCAATTTGGTCTACTTAAAAAAATACGACAAAATTTTCAAGTTTTTTTTGAAAATCCACCTCCCCTCCTCGAGAAAATTCTAGATCCGCCTCTGTGTTTCAGGGGCGGATTTAGGGCAAAGGCGGGGGGCGGACGTCTCTTCCTGAGCGATCTCAAACCCTTTGTACTAGTTTGAGATATACATTTTTGGTGACGGACCCTAAAAATTTTCTTAAAGCGCCTTTGGCGCCAATATATACTAATTTTGAGGGGGAAGCGCGCGCCATTTTTTTATCAAAATTTTTCAAAAAGTGCCCAAAAACGGCTTTTTTGACTTTTTTCAAATTTTTGCCTGCTGCGCAGAAAGTTTTGTCAAATTAGGATCTTTATAAGGGTTTGGGAGAGCTCAGAAAATCAATTTGGTCGATTTAAAACAAAGGTCGACAAAATTAAAATTTTCGAAATTTTTTTGAAAATCTGCTCCCTCGAGAAAATAATAGATCCGACCCTGCTGTATATATATGTGAGTGTGTGTGTGTGTGTGTGTGGGTGTGTGTGTGAGTGTGTGTGTGCGTGTGTGTGCATATATATATATATATATATATATATATATATAAATATAATAAATATTTATTTAGTTTATTTCTGGAAGGAGAGTTGTTGACGAAACTTGCACGGATGTTGATGGGCCGCCCACTTTACCCAATTTTTTGGCTCATCGTCCAAGTTTTTGTCCACTTCTCCATCGGTTCTCAATTTGCTCTTAATTCCTATAGTATTTAAGCATAAGACCAAAAAATCAAAACCATAGTTCGCAACAGGTTGTTTTTTGTTTTCCCGTTCTGTTTTCAACGCCCAAATCGTAGCAACACTAATTTTATAGTTGCTAAAAGGACACACCAAAAATTTTACCCCTAATAAAACAGTAATTTTGCTACCTGTGAATTAATTTATCATCACAAGTGCTCCTTCTCCTTTGAGGCTACTTTAAAATTTACCTGCTACTAATTATTTTAGCTTAAACAAAAATATATTGTAGGGTTAACGATGTACGTCATTAAACATTTTTTCATTATTCTAATACGTGCACTACTACGTTAAGACTTTTTAATCAGTTTAAAACAATTTGGATTGATAATTTTTTTAGTGGCAGTCAATTTCTAATGCGAGAAGTTAAAAGAAATTGTTCATCAATATTTAATTCACAAAATTTTTTGGAAGACCAATTACAGGGCAGATGGAACACTCAGAGCTTTGTCCTGATGTGAGAGCAGTCATGCCGAAATTCATTTAAAAAATAGCAGTACTCTGACTTTAAATCTTAAAGTTTTTTTATCTGCGATAATCAATTTGTTAATATAAATGCACCCAAAGATTGCCAGCTTTCTTTTAACGCGTAGCGTTGATGGCGTGTGTATCCGGCTTATTCTAAGACAAGCTAACAGTTCAAAAATTAGGATACTAGGCTTAAAATATGAATTTTTGACATAGTACGAGGGGATTTTTTTAAAAAACAATGTCATTTTGAGATTGCGCGACAGCAAAGTTTTTCAAAAATTAAATGGAACTAAATATATAAATTATCTATTATTTATTAGAAAAACTAATTTAAATACGTGAAAAAGCAAGTCAATATATTCAAGAATTCAATTTGCCACCTTTTTTATAATTCGAAACTTTGCAGATTACACATAATTCGTTTTTAGGCATCCGCTGACTATAGCTCTAGATAAATTGCTTTTTGGCTGAGGAAAGATATTTTAAGCTAAGCCTCGTCTCAATACGACGGAAAAATAATTTATTTTTTGAAAAGATTAATTTGGCGGAGATAGACCTTTTGCTTAATGCGATAGACTTAATGAAACTTTTTAGTCGGCTGAAAATGAGATGTTTGAAAGTTAAATTGGATTTTTTGATTGACTTAGGCTGATTGCTAGGAGTTGCATGGATTATCAATTACTTTTAACTATATAACTATAGCAATGCTAACAAAATTGAGTTTCTTCAAAGAAACAAAAACACCAAAAAATGAAGAAAAAAACGGTAAAAATAGATTTCTCATTCCCTAAAAAATTTTCATATACTTTTGGATTCCGAAACGCATCTAAAAGAGACTCAGTTAATAAGCATATCAACCTAGTTTGAAGTTATTCTTGGTACCCATTTTTATGTTAGAAATCTCTGTTCAATATAGTTTCTTTGCAGCCGCTTCAACTTAACAGAAAACCGAAACGCCATTATTTTTGTACAGAAACAGAAAAAAAATATGAAAACTGCTAAATTGATTCAAATTAACGTTTATCTTTTTTTTGAAACGTTTAGCAAAAAAAAATATGCTAATGTTTAGCAAAAAAAATTATGCTAAACGAACTAGATTTCCTTTTGACAGATCATAAGTCTGGCTGGACCAAAACGCTTGAACGATGGCTTAGTTTGCGTCGCTAATATTTGTTTTTTTGCTCCAGGTGACAATTTTTCTAATGACTTGGCTGACATCGTCGTAGTAAGCCAAGATGAAAAAAATTAATTCAAAAAAGGTTCAGAAAATCAAATCAATCCAGAAAATTTCACCGATAATATGAAAAACTTTAAGGAAAAATGAACATGACGAAACGCCTATTCGGACTATTTTGAACTTCAAGCAAAAAATTGCTCATTCAATTGTAAAAGTTCATGTTTAAATTTGATTGCCTATTGGAACCTGATCTAAACTACATTTTATGATTGGATAATTTAGATATTTTACCAATGTAAAGTATTTAATATTAACCAATCATGATCCATCTAACTAACAACCCACTTATTTGTAAGTGCTGAAGTTACTTGTAATTTCAGCACCAGAGAGATTTGAATTTAACTTAGAAATTAGTTGGACTCTCCCGAGCACTTCAGCAGCCGCAATAAACCAGTATACCCTAGATCTATTGAGCCTAGCAGAGACTAGTTAAACAACCTGAGACTAGATAGTATAAGAGTAAGATTAGGATCGGTATTAGACTAAGAAGTTGCACGAATCTATCCGGCCGAAAATAAGATAGCGTGACGAGCAGACGGTGTACCCTATCCGAAATTACTCTATGAGTTAACCAACTCGGTCCTAACTCATCTGGTGCGACCATAAGTCTCGAACAAGACCTTAATAGCTTAGAATTAACCAAAATAGATTAGAAATTAGACAAAAACATTTACAAAATGTTATACGACAATAATTTAATCGAAATGTCTCTACGACTCAATAGATCAGAGCCAATATTCCGAACCATAACAGAACTACCCGGAATTGGAAGAAGACCTCGAACCAGAGACGACATACGACAAAGTAGAAACT